TATGTGCCTTTACCTCACTGGTTGTAGAAAAAGCTTCTTATATTTGTTAGCATAGCTAGCTAACCAGATGCTAATAACAACAAAGTTATTGACTGCCTGATCAGTATGACAGATGAACAGATCGCCACTGGGCTTTCAACTAAAGACACAGCCACGCAAAAACTGCGGCATGTGTACAGCTCCTTATGTGTACTGCAATTTTGGAAGTGCCGGAGCGGCGTTCTGGTGCAGAACTGCACCCCTGTCAGACCAGACATATACCACGTGATGACACGTTAGGCTTGTGTTGTGTTCAAGGACCCTGCTTCATTCTGATCAAGATCCCTCCGCTTCGCGTCAGGCTCCTGATCTGCCTGTCCAACACACTCTCACTCCATAAACGTCCAGGAGCGACGCTTGGTCAGGGTCCCGAGGCGTGCAGTTGGGACGCTCCTAGGCTCCTTCAGCTTCATAAACAGACGCAAATAGCTTTCAACTGATTGCAATATATTCCCATCTGCGGCGGGATTTGACGCTCATGGAAGCACGGCATTCGTTTGTGTCGGAGGCTGTTTAAGGCAATGTGAGCGTCCATTCCCATTGGATAACGGAGAAAAGTATTCCCCTTGCTGTCGATTGATTTGACAGTGATATCTCCACTACTCATCAACTCAAAAACACCAGATTATCCTTGTTAATTAAACGACATTGATAGGTTTTAGTGTACAATGCTTTTGTCACGTTTTCCCCTTCAATTTTGAGAAACAAGTCGTTTTCTATGAGTTTTGGATGGCCGAAGACATTACATTACCCACAATCCTTTGTATCATCCATAGACTGTATATTGCAACAGGCAACAGCTTCGGTTCATGTTAATTTACAAACTCTTCAACTACAACCGTAGTTATATTTAAAAACATGTTAGAAGGCCTCACAAAATACTTTAATGTAAATTACAATGTAAATGCGAAGGAATGTGTGTATATTAACTGTGGGTTTTTCTCTGGAAGTTTTTCCCTGAGGGTCAAAGGATGCCGTTTTTCTCATACTGATATTCCGCTATGCACGCTGGGATTTGGTGTTTATGCGATGTGAAATCCGAAAACATTTAAAGAAAATTAAATAACACATTATTCCGAGTGTGCTTGCTTTTCTCTTTGAAAGTCATCACATAACGGCATTTGTAATACACGTTTCGGCTGCATTAAATATTACATATCTGCCGTAGTTGTCTATTTATAGAGCCCTGATGAGAAGACTTCTAGACAAACAGGAACTGCCGCCAAAACTGAAAACGTGACGTGGATCTTAAATATATAAGCAATTAAACATCATCTTACATTTCTTTTCACACAATACGTCTCCTTGCAGTATCAACACTAATTCGGCTGACTTTTATATTTGATCCAATTGGTAGATAGGCTGTATTTACGCCATAACGGTGCACAGCTGATAGAAAGGGACACCTACTGGTTAAAGCACATTATTGCATTTTATAATTTTATTATTAGATATTAATAGGATCCCTATAAAGTATATTCTTTACTCGTCGTTATTCTCTACTAATAGTTAATTAAAGACTGTATATAATGACTATTTTGCACATCCCTTTCAAGATTTCAAGATTTTCTAAGGTTTATTGACATTAAAGACTGTATATAATGACTATTTTGCACATCCCTTTCAAGATTTCAAGATTTTCTAAGGTTTATTGACATATCATATTATACACAACTACGGTGTAGTTATGCAATGAATGAAAAACTTGGGTCGCAGGTTCCTCAACAGTGCATTACAAGACATCTATCAATATGTGTGTACCTCCACCATTACATTGTCATATTCTGCACATTTCTTATACTATCTACATACATCTTATAAGAGTATAATACATATGTATAATATCAGTTAAAATAAGTGCTTAAACATAGTTAACATTGCAGGAAAGCAATATATTAGACGTTAAGTACTTTGTCAGGCTTAATATTTATCTGTAGATACAAATTTCACTGTGTGTGCTGTGTGCTCTGTATGTGTGACCATCAAAGAGGGTTTCATCCCTCCATATTCATCTTCTATACCCCCAAAGCTGTTTTCTTATTCAAAAGAAGACCTTAACCTAAAGTATTCTTTAATGTTTAAATAAAGCCTTATTAGGTTGTCTGTTTTGCACATCCTCCTATTAATATCTAATAATAAAATTATAAAATGCAATAACGTGCTTTAACCAGTAGGTGTCCCTTTCTATCAGCTGTGCACCGTTATGGTGTAAATACAGCCAATCTACCAATTGGATCAAATATAAAAGTCAGCCGAATTAGTGTTGATACTGCAAGGAGACGTAGCCTATTGTGTGAAAAGAAATGTAAGATGTTGTTTAATTGCTTATATATTTAAGATCCACGTCAAGTTTTCAGTTTTGGCGGCAGTTGTTCCTGTTTGTCTAGAAGTCTTCTCATCAGGGCTCTATACATAGAGTTAACTACGGCAGATATGTAATATTTAATGCAGCCGAAACGTGTATTACAATGCCGTTATGTGATGACTTTCAAAGAGAAAAGCAAGCACACTCGGAATAATGTATTATTATTATTTTTTTAAATGTTTTCGGATTTCACATCGCATAAACACCAAATGGGAGCTGCCTGGACGCTGCAATCATGTTGCGCGCACTATCTGGCTACCTGCATAAAGTCAAGTGCTCGGCGCAGTTGTTGGCAAAATGTCGCTCCTCTGTTTTCATTGAAACAGCTCCTTATATCCGTTAGCGCAGCTAGCTAGCACCAGATGCTAACAACAACAACAACACGTAAGGTGTGCCTTGCTCGCGCTACACATACACACACCCTCCCGGTCCTCCCGATGGCCAGTCCGGGCCTGCCGGTGAGCGTTGAAGTGTGGTCTGCCACAAGCGGGCGGCAGGAGCGGGGCTGTCAGCATCAGCTTGTAGATGGTATTTTAAACTCGATGCGCTCTGAAACTACGGGGCGGGGCGGCCGTGGACAAAAAATACACATGCGTTAATCGCGTTAAAATAATTAGTGGCGTTAATTTTTTTTGCGTTAACGCGTTATTAACTTGACAGCCCTAATAAAAACCTATCAATGTCGTTTAATTAACAAGGATAATCTGGTGTTTTTGAGTTGATGAGTAGTGGAGATATCACTGTCAAATCAATCGACAGCAATGGGAATACTTACTTCCGGGTGTACAATTCTCCGTTATCCAATGGGAATGGACGCTCACATTGCCTTTAACAGCCACCGACACAAACGAATGCCGTGCTTCCATGAGCGTCAAATCCCGCCGCAGATGGGAATACATTGCAATCAGTTGAAAGCTATTTGCGTCTGTTTATGAAGCTGAAGGAGCCTAGGAGCGTCCCAACTGCACGCCTCGGGACCCTGACCAAGCGTCGCTCCTGGAGGTTTATGGCGTGAGAGTGTGTTGGCCTGTCGGGTGTTCTTTTACCCATAATGACCGCCTCGCTGCACATTATCCCTTACTTATATACTGCTGGGTAGCTTTTGAAGTTCACCATGGGATCAATAACATTTTATCTTAACCTATAATAATACATGATAAACTATTTCTTTATTATATTTTGTAGTATTCTGAATCTTCAAAGTTACTAAAGTTATCAAATAAATGTAGCGCAGTATAAAGTACACTATTTACCTGAATTGGAGCGGAGCAGTACAGTACTTAAAGTGGACCTATCATGCTATATTTGAATAATATAGTCTAGGACCATACCTATATAAGGCATATTTATACTTTTTTTTTTTCAAAATACCAAACAGATCATGCATTTTAGCCATGCCTAATTTCGCTCAATTTGAAAAATGTTAGCTCTGTTTTTGCAAGGGTTGATTCTGTGAGCAACAGCACCATCTACTGGCCTGGCATATGTACTACAGCGTCTCCAGCGCTTACGAACGGCAATGGCCGTGGCTGTCTCCTCCTGATTGGTGGAGTTGGCCCAATAGCCGTAGCGCCACCGTCCTGACGTCAGGACAGTGTTCAAATCTGGATCAGTTTTTATCAGATCCGTTGCAGCCCCTTTTTTAGAGATTTGAATATGGAGGAAAATAGAGAGGGTTGTGTTTTCTGACACTTGGTGAGTTCCCTGGAACACCGGGGACACATATTCATGTATAAAAGACGTACAAAAGTGCATTTTGCATGATAGGTCCCCTTTAAGTAAATGTACTTTGTTACTCTCTACCGCTGTTCATTGTTCAAGAATGAAATGTAAATTTGCAAGACGGTTTCTGCCCCTCTATTCACATGCAACCTTTCATACAGTATGTGAGGTTGGCTTCATTCTCCCATTATCCTCCACAATCTGGCTAGAAGTATTTTAATGTTGTAGCTGTTCAAGATGGTCATTTTAAAATGTTTTGAAAATATATTGTTAGTAGTTAAACCAATAATAATGCTAGGGCTGCAACTGACAGTTATGTAGGCACATTTTTATTTTTTCTTAACGCTGTGTGATTAAAAGAATAAACACAAATAGCAGGATAGGCATACATATTTGCTATATCTTGCCCCACTGAAAAGGCACTGCACCGATACTGTTAAAATATTGGCATAGCTCATGTGCTGCTTGGCTCGAGCTGTAGCATTGGTGGTGTGTTGCAGGGTGGCTATTTGCTATTTGTTGTTTGTATCACGCAGACTGTCTTCCGGTTGCCTCTTTTGAATGACGAATACTTATTGCCACTCACGCATGCGCAGTGCGTACGTGCTACTTGGCTGTCGGCTGAAGTCTTTGCAGTGTGTTCCAGTGAGACTTTTTGACCAAGACGGAGGAGACGTGAGGCGACACAACAGTCGGGTCCGTCGGGACGTGTTCTTTGGTGTCGATTTGTTATGTCAGGGCCTTAAGTTGAATGGCGCAAGTGGATAAGTAGTTTCGAGAAAAGTGGACTGAAACATCAACACTACAAATGAAAGTCTGGTATTTGATGTTGTTATGAGTCTGATCATAGTTTCTGATGTGCTCTGTGTTACAGTGGTTCAGGGTCAGGGTGGCTGGGGAGTGACTTACACTTCTACTGAGGTATGTGCAGTGAAAGGATCAACAGTGGAGATAAGATGCAGCTTCACATACCCATCTCCATGGAGAGGCAGAGTTAACACAGTGGAGAAAACATTCTGGTTCACTAAACAGAAAGATGGTGATCCTGTAGATCTGTTCACAGAATCAGAGTATGCAGGTCGTCTAGAGGATATCTGTGAAAACAACATCTGCACTCTGAGAATCAAAAACCTGAGAGAGAGTGACTCAGCTGACTACAGGTTCTGGATCGAAACAAACCAACCAGATGGAAAATATTCTGGTTCACCTGCAGTCACTTTGTCTCTCACAGGTAATACTTTCATTCATGCCAATCATTTCCAAATGTTCAACTTTAAGAAAACAATAATATAAATGTGATGAGTTTTTATATACATGAATATTGGGAGTTTATTCTTAAATAACCTTGTTTGTAGCCTTTATTTAACCAGGTGAAAAATCCCATTGAGATCAACGATCTCTTTTTCAAGGGAGACCTGCAGTAAAAAAAACCTTCCTGATCCTTCTTCACAAATACAGATCTCTCGGTGCAGGTGGAAAGCAACGATTCTAGCAGTGCAAACCTGAAGTGTCAGAGCAGTTGTGTTGTACCTGATAATGATTACGTCTGGTACAAGAACGGTGAAAAGATTCAAACAGGGACATCTTCGTCTCTTCAAGTCGACTTGAGTTTTCTAGACAGCTATTCCTGTTCTGTGAAAGGATATGAGAACTCTCCCTCCCCTTCAGTGTGTGAGTTCACTTCACTACCTTATTCTAACATAACACCCTCTAGTGGAAGCAATAGCTATGTGACTTCTCATCAACTCTGGTAAAACAATGGTTTACCATTTATTTTGATTTTTCAGGTGTCACTGGTCGAGACAGCAACACACTGACTTATACTGAAGGAAGTATCGGTGCCCCCAAAGGATCATCAGTGGACATTTCCTGCACGTACAGCAGTAATGACTGTATTACATCAAAGTTCTGGTTCAGTCCTGAGCGTAGTCATCAGGGACAGAATCCCTCTCAACCTGAGGACCTTAGTAAAGACTCCCAGTATGCAGGTCGTGTTCAGATCCTTGAAACAGAGAGAGGACGCTCCACTCTGAGGATCTCTGACCTGAGAGACTCAGATTCAGCTCAGTATCTCTTCAAATTCAAAACACCAAGCTTTGAATGGAGGAGTGATTTACCTGGAACAACTCTGACTGTCACAGGTACTGATCAACACTCACTGATGTATACTGTATAAAACCAACACATTACAATTAGAAAATACTGGAAGTTGAGTTTTTGTAATTACTGTTGGATGAGTTTTCTTTTTTGCTCACCTACTTTAGACTGTTGTGTTAATGGGTATGTACATTTCAGAATCAGAATCAGAATCAGGTTTATCACCAGGTAGGTTGACACGTACGAGGAATTTGACTTGATGTCGTGGTGCATACATAAAAGTAAAACAAATATTAAAAACACAGATAGAGATCAACAAAAATATTAAAACAATAAAAAATATAGTAAAATATAAAAGTATAACAGTATTTACTTTATCATCAGTTTTAGACGTTAAATAATATTGCTTCTTTTACTAATATCCAGCTCTCCAGGTGCAGGTGATCAGAGCAAAGGTCTACAACTATTCTACTGAGGCAGAGCTGAAGTGTCACAGCAGCTGCAGTCCAGCTGGTTCTCTGAACTACGTCTGGTTCAAGAACGGAGAGAAAATCACATCGATGAATACATCTTCTTATGAAGGCTTGTTTCAGCCCAGGGACACTGTCTCTTGTGCTCTGGAAGGACATCAAGACTTCCCCTCTCCTCCAGTGTGTGAGTTTACTCATACACAAACCCTGACATTACAATACAATTACAATCTCAGATAACAACCATACAATAGTCTTATGATCGTAATGCAGACGCAGCAGTATTATTTATAGAAACAAAAAGCTTTCTAGGTAAAGCAACATACAGATTAAATTGATTTTGGTAGAGACCGCATTTACAACATATCAGAGGTAAAAAAAAAAAATCAACAATAACAGAAAATCCTGTAGGCAGTGAGAAATATCACAAAAAAAGATATCATAAAAAAGGTTAGCTTTATATTGTTCTTCATGTTATTCCAAGTTACAGGAGCAAGATGAAAAAACTGGATTCTCACTAAAAACCTCAGTCGGCAGCTGCCGCAGAATTTAATCATGATGTGGGCCCACTTTAAAAGAAACATTAAGGAGGTGAAAAAACAGCCTTATAAATAAATATACACAGGTTGTCATACAGAGAGAAGTACAGCTCAATATGATGTGTATTATCCTAATCTCCAAGAATAAATCTGAGTGCACAATGTTTAAAATCACAGTCTTTATACAGGGTTAGAGTTAGTCTGTAAGTAATATTAAGATATTCAAGTTTAATATTAATAAAGATGTGTTTGTGGCTGTCAGTGTCCATCAGCAGGAGGTGTTACACATCCAGGATCTACATTACAATGTCAACATACTTGGGATATGGACACACTATTTACTCCTTTAAATGTACATGTTGCACAATTGCAATTTACACCCATAATTTATTTATGTATCCCCAGATGCTCCAAGGATTCCTTCTTTGTCAAGACCCTCTGGTGAGATAAATGAGGGTAGTTCAGTGACTCTGACCTGTAGCAGTGATGCTAACCCAGCAGCTAACTACACCTGGTACAAGAGGAATAGCAATGCAGACCTTCCTCCTCTCAGTGAAGAAGCACAGCTTGTCTTCAGATCCATCCAGTCCTCTGACTCTGGACAGTATTTCTGTACAGCTGAGAACGAGCTGGGAAGGAAGCCATCTAAAGACATCTCTATTGATGTGAAATGTGAGTATCGGTTATTATCTATGTAATTTACATTCAGTTGTATTTTTCGTATTTCATATCGCATAAACACCATATCCCAACGTGCATTGCGGCTAAACAATCCAATTACCGAGCTTACACCATAGCTGAGGATCTTGGGTAATCAGTTCAGTGTGTATCTGTTTCCGGTTATTTTATTTTGAAATTCAGTTCCTGACGGACGCCAAAAAAGCCAGAGATTATGGAATTAAACAAATAAATAAAAACAAGGATAATTGTGTGTTATTGTTGAGTAAATAACAGTGTGTTATTTAGAAAAGAATAATAAATTAGAAGGAAAAAAAATTACAAAAAATACAGATTTCAGTATTCAGAGGCTCTGAGCCCCATTTCTTTTCCTCACTGACGGCAAAAACGAATTAAAATTAAAAACAATAATCGTGGCTTGATATTGAGTAAGAACCATAGACTGTATATATAAAGAACATGTTTTTATGAACCACACAGCTTCCGGTCTTCCAAGACCCGACCGGACAAAAAGACGTGTTGCAGGCACAAAACATACTACCAAGAGAAATACATTGCTTTTAAAATCGTTCTGTGTGACACGAAAAAAAAGGGGAAAATCGTGATGGTGAACACGAATCAATAGATTAAATGTTGTGACTATAACACGAAATGCTGTGAGACTGGGTTGTATTAACGGTACAAGGCTATCTCTAAATCCTTAAATTCCATCCATCCATCTTCTCCCGCTTATCCGTGGTCGGGTCGCGGAGGTAGCAGTTCCAGCAGAGAGCCCCAAACGTTCCTTTCCCTGGCCACATCAACCAGCTCTGACTGGGGGATCCCAAGGCGCTCCCAGGCCAGCGAAGAGATATAATCCCTCCACCTGGTCCTAGGTCTACCCCTCGGTCTCTTCCCAGCTGGACGTGCCTGGAACACCTCCCTAGGGAGGCGCCCAGGTGGCATCCTTATTAGGTGCCCGAACCACCTCAACTGGCTCCTTTCGATACGAAGGAGGAGCGGTTCAACTCCGAGTCCCTCCCGGATGACTGAACTTCTCACCTTATCCCTAAGGGAGACGCCAGCCACCCTGCGGAGAAATGCCATCTCGGCCGCTTGTATCCGCGATCTCGTTCTTTCGGTCATGACCCATCCTTCATGACCATAGGTGAGGGTAGGACCGAAAATGGCCCGGTAGACAGAGAGCTTTGCCTTCTGGCTCAGCTCCCTTTTCGTCACAACGGTGCGGTAAAGAGACTGCAGTACCACTCCCGCTGCTCCGTTTCTCCGGCCCATCTCACGCTCCATTGTTCCCTCACTCGAGAACAAGACCCCGTGATACTTGAACTCCTTCACTTGGGGTAAGGACTCATTCCCAACTTGGAGTGGACAGTCCATCGGTTTCCTGCTGAGAACCATGGCCTCAGATTTGGAGGTGCTGATCCTCATCCCAGCCGCTTCACACTTGGTTGCGAACCGATCCAGTGAGTGCTGAAGGTCACAGACCGATGAAGCCATTAGAACCACATCATCTGCAAAAAGCAGTGGTGCAATCCTTAGTCCACCGAACTGCAGACCCCCTCCCCCACGACTACGCCTCGAAATCCTATCCATGTATATTACAAACAGGATTGGTGACAAAGCGCAGCCCAGGCGGAGGACAACCCTCACCGGAAATGGGTCCGACTTACTGCCGAGGACCCGGACACAGCTCTCGCTTTGGGAGTACAGAGATTGGATGGCCCTGAGTAGTGACCCCCTCACCCCATACTCCTGCAGCACCTCCCACAGTAACTCCCTGGGAACTCGGTCATACGCCTTCTCCAAGTCTACAAAACACATGTAGACCGGATAAGCGTACTCCCAGGCCCCCTCTAGGATCCTTGCGAGAGAAAAAGCTGATCCGTCGTTCCACGACCAGGACGGAATCCGCATTGTTCCTCCTCAATCTGAGGTTCGACAATCGGCCTAACCCTCCTTTCAAGTACCTTAGAGTAAACTTTCCCGGGGAGGCTGAGTAGTGTGATGCCTCTGTAATTGGCACACACCCTCTGATGCAAATTTCCCCTCTGTGGGACTAATAAAGGTATTCTGATTCTGATTCTGATCCCCCTTTTTGAAAAGGGGAACCACCACCCCGGTCTGCCACTCCTTCGGAAGGAAGGAACACTTTGAGGAACTCCCTGCTTCCCCCTCCTGAGAATCCTTAAATTCCATTTCTCAATGAAAAGTTGTGACTTGATTAAGTAATGCACTAAATGGGATTTAACCAATGACAAATCATGACTTTATTATGACTAATAACAATTCAGAAATACCCATGAATAATTATTTACAGTAGATATTAATTCATTTACATAATCGGTTGTTTCTCTAAAATATATTCCTTAGCTACACTGAAAAAACTGAAACGTTGACTATAATGAAATGTATTATGTCAACAAATTACACATAATTGTATTAGGTTGGTTGAAAGCAGTAATATACATTTTAAAATGAAAAATATTAGGTTCAACTTAATATTATTGCTTTCAACTCACCTAATGCAAAAAAAAAGAATTTATTGAAATAATACATTTAATTAAAGTCAATGTTATAGTGTTTTCAGTGTACTCTACAAAATGTGATTAGTAAATACTCAACAACTGTCCTTCAAGTTAGGGTTATTTTGGAATGAGTTCCTCATTCAATGCTCTGTAATGACTCGAAATGCAGCTATTCAGCGTTCAATAATGTAGATACCTTTGAGCTAATGCAGTGAGAAACACATAATTAATATTTACTGTTAACACATCTCCTCCAGATGCTCCGAGGATTCCTTCTTTGTCAAAACCCTCTGGTGAGATAAAGGAGGGCCGTTCAGTGACTCTGACCTGTAGCAGTTATGCTAACCCAGCAGCTAACTACACCTGGTACAAGAGGAATGGAAATGCAAACGTTCCTCTTCTCAGTGAAGGAACACAATTTGTCTTCAACTCCATCCAGTCCTCTGACTCTGGACAGTATTACTGTATAGCTGAGAACAAGCTGGGGAATAGCACATCTGCAAACATCCGTATTGATGTGAAATGTGAGTAAGACAGTTTATTTAAATCTGTCTAGTTGTTTCAAGAGAAGATGTTACTTATCATCACTACTTTCTTCAGCTCAGCTTGCTTTACATTACATGGGATCCAGGGAACAAGCAGGTAATTTAAAAGTGAACTGGCAGTAACTTCTAATCACATTTTATAGAGTTGCTAATGATGACATCATTGAGAAACGACTGTTAAAAATTGTTATATTTAACTAATATTTACTGTTATTAACTTTACAAGGCTATCTCTAAATCCTTAGATTCCATTACTCAATTCATCGTTGTGACTTGATTAAGTGATACACTAAACGGCATTTAACCAATGACAAATCATTACTTTATTATGACCTATAAGAATTCAGAATTACCCATGAACAATTATTTACATTACATATTAATTATTTGCATAATAAAACTTAAATTCTATTCACCTTTTGGACAAAGATTCAATCCGTCCAACATGCATTTTGTCAAACCATGTTCAAAGTCCAAAATGCAGCTGCAGTTCATTCAGCGTTCAAAGATACCCTTTGTGCTAATCTAGTGAGCCACACATTCTTAATATTTTCTGTTAACACTTCTCCTCCAGATGCTCCGAGGCTCCTTTCTTTGTCAAGACCCTCTGGTGAGATAGAGGAGGGCAGTTCAGTGACTCTGACCTGTAGCAGTGATGCTAACCCAGCAGCTAACTACACCTGGTACAAGAAGAATGGAAATGCAAACGTTCCTCTTCTCAGTGAAGGAACACAATTTGTCTTCAGATCCATCCAGTCCTCTGACTCTGGACAGTATTACTGTACAGCTGAGAACAAGCTGGGGAGGGGGACATCTGCAAACATCCGTATTGATGTGAAATGTGAGTAAGACAGTTTATTTAAATCTGTCTAGTGTTTCTAGAGAAGGTGTTAATTATCACTACTTTCTTCAGCTCAACATTCTTTACATTACATGGGATCCAGGGAACAAGTGGGTAATTTAAAAGTGAACTGGCAGTAACTTTTAATCACATTTTATACAGTTGCTAATGATGACATAATTGAGAAACAACTGTTACATATTGTTATATTTAACTAATATTTACTGTTATTAACTTTACAAGGCTATCTCTAAATCCTTAAATTCCATGACTCACTTCATAGTTGTGACTTGATTAAGTGATACACTAAACGGCATTTAACCAATGACAAATCATTACTTTATTATGACTAATAATGATTCAGAATTAGCCATAAACATTTATTTACGTTACATATTAATTCATTTAAATAATAAGACTTACATTCTATTCACCTTTTGGACAAAGATTAAATCCGTCAAACATGCATTTTGTCAAACCATGTTCGAAGTCCAATTTGCAGCTCCAGTTCATTCAGCATTCAATAATGTAGATACCCTTTGTGCTAATCTAGTGAGCAACACATTTTTAATATTTTATGTTAACGCATCTCCTCCAGATGCTCCAAAGCTCCCCTCTGTGTCAGTGAGTCCCTCTGGTGAGATAAAGGAGGGCCGTCCAGTGACTCTGACCTGTAGCAGTGATGCTAACCCAGCAGCTAACTACACCTGGTACAAGAGGAATAACAATTCAGGCCTTCCTCCTCTCAGTGAAGAACCACAGCTTGTATTTAGATCCATCCAGCCCTCTGACTCTGTACAGTATAACTGTACAGCTGAGAACAAGCTGGGAAGGAAGACATCTAAAGACATCTCTATTGATGTGAAATGTGAGTATCGGTTATTATCGATGTAATTTACAGTCAGTTGTAATTCAGCTTAAATCTGTCTAGTTCTGCATGAGAAGATTTGAATGGTCATAAATACTCTCTTCAACTCTACCTGCTTCACATTGCATGAAATCCAGATAACAAATAGGTAACAAATAATGTACAGGCAGTAACTTCTGATCACATTTTATAGAGTAGGCAATGTTTACCTAATTGCGAAACACCTAATGAATATTTTGTAAATTAACTAATGTTTACTTTAATTAATGTCAATAGGTATCTCAAAATCCTTCCTTAACCCTTATGTTGTGTTCGGGTCTCCCGTGACCCGTTTCAATTTAAAATTATATAATAACTACACTCTAGTTTTTTTTTTATCTGAACAAGGCTTCATGATATCCTCCACAACAGCTATATAAACACTACAAAACTGATTTTGACAATTTTAGCCAAGTCTGAAGGTCTCTAAAAAAAAAAGTGTATAATTTGGTGTTCGGGTCTGGGAAGACCTGGCAGCATTGTTTTGGGTGACTCGAGGTCAAATTTGGCCCAATCAAGATTCATCTTTTACTTTTAACCCTTTTTTATGACCCACCAATTGTTTATATATTTGTGTTATTGGTGGTAACATACTCAGTAACAACCAACAAGTCAATACTGTGCACCATTTGACTGGAGGAGAGGGAAATACAAACAAATATGTGGTTCATCATAAAGTCAGGATTTGTTATTGGTTAGGTGCTGTTTAGTGCAGTACAGGGAAGCAATTGAGACCTATGCATTTCTCAGGAGATACTCAACAACTGTCCGTTAAGTTACGGATATCTATGAGCAGTTGGTTCCTCACTTCTTTCCTTTTAAATACTAAACATTTAGTGCAATGTATCGTGGTTTAACGACGACATTTTATGCAGATTTGGGACCCAGATTCAAACCGTCAAACATGCATTTTGTAGGACCACGTTCAATCCAAAATGAAGCTTCACTCAGGAGTTTCAACTTTTAACAACATTTTTGCTAGTGAGCAACACATTGTCTTGGATGCCACTGGTGCGGTGTTAAACCACATGTAAAGTACATGCATCACCTTTCCAAGAAAAGTCATAACAAAATGCAATTGGTTTTGTGATTGCAACATTTGAGGTCCCAGATGCCCATTGCTACACAAACTGTTGAGAAATGTTGTTTGTCTACAGTGTGAGAATATTTAAAGTCACTAAAATTGTTGTAAAGCATCTTCCTCAAAAAGAAGAGGCCATGAAAAGAAAACTTGTGGCCAAATGTGATGATCATCTCTTAGGAACTATTTTAATCTGCTATCTTTGCAGAGGTGATAACACCCTGTCTCATGGAGCATGTATTGTCGATGGATACTGTAGTGAGCTTAATCATTGTGTTGCTGCTTCTGGTTTGTTGTAGTCATGTGCCCAAAAAAATGGCCTGTTAACAAATATTCAACAAGTTGTCTCTCTTTTGTCCTCCAGATGCTCCAAAGACTTCCTCTGTGTCAGCGAGTCCCTCCGCTGAGATAGAGATTGGCAAATCATTGCAGCTGACCTGTAAAAGTGGCGCTAATCCAGCAGCTAACTACACCTGGTACAAGGACAACCAAACACTGCCTGGGGGGTCAAAAGACATTTATCAACTTGCCTCTATCACCTTAGAGGACAAAGGGAACTACCACTGTGAGTCTAAGAATGAGTACGGCCAGATCAACTCTACATCAGTACGCATAGATGTCCAATGTAAGTACAAAACATCAACAAGTCACCTAATATACATGTGCTGAGTAGAGATAGTGATTGTTAACCTGTGATGATCTTTCCCTGGTAAAAACATTATCTGAAATAAATTCATAAAGGACGTCTATCAGCTTTTAATGTCTAACATATTCACATGCCATGTGTACGTTACAAGAAGGTTTGTGATCCCTTGACTCATTCCTCCAGTCCATGCCAGCTTGGAAGCAATACCTCTAAAAAGAGTTGGATTTCATGTAATGCTAATATGTTACTGTTACTTCTAAGGTTTCATTTGTTTTAGTACTAAATGCCTCTGTGTTTGATAAAGGGATGACTCTTTATTGGCTGCAGCTGAAGGATTTGCACCATTTGTGACATGAGCTCTTCATATGTTACTCCGTGATTTGCCTACTTGGCTTTCTTTATGTAAATCTTAGGGATGAAAACATTTTTCATTTTTCTAGTTTTATTTGTTTGGTCCACTTATGTCTGCTGAGAGAGTAAACCAACGTTTCAATCAAATAAACTGTGGCTTTCAACTAAGGATACGACTCGAGCTAAGTGGCACAATCTTTGCAGGAACAAAGTTAACATCGTAGGATCAAGAACATGTGTTTGCTGCTAATAGATTGATTAACTAACGATCTTATCAATCTCCTAAAATATTGCATGGTCCACAATCTAAATTGCAGTGCTCGGGTCACAAGCAAGGCCTCAAGTGGATATATCCAACAATATGTAGGCTTTTTTGCCGTAGATGGTAGTTTCCACTGCCAAGTTGGGCCCCTTCTGCACACCTTGATGATATCAAGTGGGGAATTAGTAGATCTACTTTACTAAAGATACACTTCTACACATTCTCTTCCAGATGCTCCAAAGCCTCCCTCTGTGTCAGTGAGTCCCTCTGCTGAGATAGAGGAGGGCAGTTCAGTGACTCTGACCTGTAGCAGTGATGCTAACCCAGCAGCTAACTACACCTGGTACAAGGAGGATGAAGACTCTCCAACAGCTTCAGGACAGATCTTCAACATCACTGACTTCAGAGCTGAACACAGTGGGAGTTATTACTGTGAAGCCCAGAACAAGTTAGGACGTCTTAACTCCACCTTACATCTGAGTGTTGTGGCAGGTAAGTCATTTCGCACCACAGGACATCCCAAGAGGCACAGCAACTTCCAAGTTCATATCATACATGTAGAAAAGTCTCCGAAAACTACAGTTCTTTGAAGAGCCAAGATGCAATTTACTGTTCCACTCTCTGGACATAATTTCTACAACAGTCCCTCCTTCACATTCACAACCTGCTGCAGCTTTAGGAGATTTTAGCAGTTTTAATGCAGCTTTTGGACCCAGATTCAAACCTTAAAACATCCATTTGTCCGGACATCTTCAAAGTCTAAAATACAGCTTCACAAAGCCATAACCAATTTGTTATTTAAATTAGTAGAGATTAAATAGGGCAAGATAAACTCCACATCCATACATGTCAACACTGACTGAGTTTAACTAGAGATTGAATCGAGGGAAACTGTTAGAAATCTTTTCTTTATATTTCACTACGTTTAGCTCACACTTTGTCCAAAGCAACTTACTATAAGTGCAATCAACCCTGAGGATATAACAACATACAAGGATCTGACAAAGACTTACAGGAGACCAGGACTTAAATACCAGAGGTGTGGACTCGAGTCACATGACTTGGACTCGATTCAGACTCGAGTCACCAATTTGATGACTTTGGACTCGACTTGACAAAATCACAAAACACTTGCGACTCGACTTGGACTTGAACACCAATGACTCGGGACTTGACTTGGACTTGAGCCTTCTGACTTGAGGTGACTTGATAATTTAATTCAGAGGTCTCCAACACGCCGATCGCGAGATGCCGCTAGAAGAGCAGACTCCCGTCGGGGAGAGCAGAATCTCCAGCCGCTGCAACTCTTGCTGAGAATCCTTGCAGGCAGGGACGGGTCTTTATTTAGCTGGGCCACCATGCGGCCAATCATATGTGAGGACACACTAGGATCATACCATTATGTGAAAGAAGGGTGGGGGGCAGACGCTCCAAAGACAGCAGGTGTAGTGGTACAGGCCAGCTACAGAGCCACGGGGAGACGGGGAGACGGATTTAAATGCAAGCGCGTCGGAAAAAGTCAAGAAATTAGCGAAAACCGAAAAAAGAAGCAGCATCTGGCTGCATGTCAATGATATTGGAGAAAGCAAAGCTGAGTGCAGGATTTGTAAAATGAAAATAACCTTCAGAGCAGGGTTTTGTTTTGGTAACCACTCAGGATTTATTGTCAGAGGTGGGAGAAGTTCAGATCTTGTACTTGAGTAAAAGTACCAGAGTGTAGGAATACTCGGTTACAATAAAAAGTCCTGAATTCAAAATGTTACAAGTAAAAGTACAAAAGTATTAGCATCAAAATACAGTTAAAGTACCACCTGTAGAGGGATCTAGATTCAGGTGTTCTTTTCCCCATAGAGACGCCTCGCTGCACATTATCCCTTGCATAAAGATAGATTGTGGGTCCCTTATAACATGTTGTACACGGTGGAAATAAACATTCTGGTTACCTCAACATCAGGGATCTTATCAATTAAACTCCTTCTGAATCAAACCGTCACGGTAGCCTAACCTTACTGATCCCTCTTACAATAGAAGAAAAACACGTTACTTTACCAGCAGAGAGAAAATAGATTATTACAGTATTAATGTGACTAATAAAGAGCAGTTTAATTATTAAGTATTATTCTGTTGATGGGTGTCATTACATTTGGTGAAAAGCACATAATGACTTGTTTAAGACTCGTTTTGTCAAAGTTTAGGACTTGGACTTGACTTGAACTTGCCCATCCTGACTTGAGACTTGACTTGGACTTGAGCACAATGACTTGGTCCCACCTCTGTTAAATACTAACATAATGTTGAATCTTCTTCAAAAACACAAGGGTAGCAGGTTAAATAATCAGGATGGGGCGGACAAACACACAGGCGGGAAAACACAAAGCCAGGAAGTGAAAAGGAAAAAAGTTGACCGAAATGGGAAGTTTAAAGAATGTAATGTCCTAGGTTCAGTGGACACAGATTTGGTTTTCATTCTATGATTACATTATTACATTACATTGCATTTAGCTGACGCTTTTATCCAAAGCGACTTACAATAAGTGCATTCGACCAACAAGATACAAACTTGAAGAAAACAGAATCATATAACTACATCAGGTTTCATAGAGCTAAAACATTTCAAGTGCTACTCAACTGGCTTTAGATAAGATAGATAAGATATGATGCAAGATGTGTAGACTTTCTGCTGTTCTGATAGCAATGGGGAACTCCTTCTACCAGTGTGGAGCCAGGATAGCAAACAGGCGTGTGTTTGTTTAGGGGTTCCTGGATCCCACTCACAGTTAAAGTATCTGACAACTGTTTACCTCCTTTTCTAGATACATCCCCAATGATCGTGAACATCACCAGGTTCTCTGTGGTGGTTCTGGGGCTGATTCCTCTGCTCCTCTGGATGAGGTGAGACTATTCAACTTCTGCATTGACATTTATCATTTGGGGTACTTAGAGTAACACTTTTACTTATTTATCTGACTATGGTTGAACACAATTCAGGAAGAAGAAGACTGTGAGCTCCACCTCTGAAGCGAATGAACCCATAGAGACTGTGGAGGTGAGACAGTGACAGATCCAACTCCAGCAAAGTGATATTACAGAATTGTTAATAATTGTGTTCACAAGGAGAATGTAAATATGCCTTGCTTCTTGATATACAATTACCAATATGTATTAATCCTCCTGTCATTCGTATCAAAAGAGAAATATATAAAACAGTCTTTCCTTTATTCAAAGATGTAATTGAAGGGTCATCTTTTCTTGTCTCTACTCTTCAGTTGGAGTCTGATCCTGTGTATGAGAACGTCTCAGACCTAAACATGGTCTCTGCAGAACAGACAGAAGAACCAGAGGAGCAGGAGGACCTGGTCTGAAGGTCAGCCAGCTATCAGTCAGCAGCATGTGCTGTTGAGTCATCTTTTCATTAATTCCTATCTATTTGTGTAGACATATATGTTCAAACCTTAGACGTTATACGGCTTCAAAACGCCGTTATGCTTAATTCAAACATTTTCTGACGGAGGAAAACATGTACTTTTTGTCCATTGCTGACGTTAAATTGACCGGACTTCCATCGACGAATTGATTTGACGGCACTGAGTCCCTTGATCAGAGCGACCAAAGCAAAAAAAGAGCAGACCTCAGAATGTTTAAAATTGTCCAATCAGCATAGAGTATTCAACAAAGCCAGTTTATTTATATAGCACCTTTCAACACAAGGCTATTCAGAGTGCTTTAAAACATTAAGAGCATTCAGAAATAGTGAATCAGCAACACATTATATGATGCCATTTAAAACAGTCATTAAAAAGCAAACAGAATAAAATAAACATGCTTATATAGAAGAAGACAGGTATACAAAACTTAAATAAAAGTCACAGTGCAGTGTGAGTCTTCATCCTGGATTTAAAAATAGCAGTTTAGTCACATTACCAAGTTTGACCCAACATGCCTCCTGTCATTTCAGCAAGGACTTTAACACAAATTGGATGGCAGTAAAAAGGCCAATAAGAAGCTACATGTGTCGAAAAACAAACTCAAAACAACAACTCAGGTCCCTTACTGAGAAATAACTCACTAATGTTTGCTCATGCTTTTCTTCTGCTGCTTTAAACCAGAGGGAGACTGACCTGGATGGAAACAGAAGGAAGTGAAACATTGAAGAGGAAACATTTACCTGTTTTTTGGAGCCAAGGCAGAACGTATGAAAGTTAGCGCTGAGCTTCAGTCTGCAATGTTCAAAACAACAGATAAAGCCAGAAATCTAGGTATAGTCATGGACTCTGACCTGAGTTTCAACAGTCACATTAAAACAGTTACTAAATCAGCCTACTATCACCTAAAGAATATATACGATTAAACGACTAATCTCACAGCAGGATTTGTATACATGTTATAGTCAAAAGGTTATAAATACCTCTGTACAAACCTATACACACACACACACACACACACACACACACACACACACACACACACACACACACACACACACACAAACACACTCCACATCCTCATATTTAATCAATATTTTCAACTTGTTCAAATATAATTTTTCTTGATTATTTTACATGTTATTGTGTCTTGTTCTAAAATGATGTTCACATTTGACCTCTAGTTGTTAAATGAAGGTTGAGTTGTAATCAGTTCCTCATTTCTCTTAGCTCTACTTCTAAGTATTCTTTATAAATAACTGTAACATGTTTTCGTCCTCTTTCAACAGAGTCTTAACCTCAGCCTCTTGTCCTTCAGCGTAGCACAAGCCTTAATTGATGTGTTTTTGGAAATATTATTATTATTTGTCCTTATGAAATATGTTTAGTCATAGATCTTGTAAAGAGGTATGCTCTTGGTACTGTAGCTTTCTCTTTTTTAAATTGTTAAAGTATTTTTTAAGTTGTGAATTGTCTTTTAATTCTGAATGAGTATTTGTAAATACATTTGCAGTCCTTTTGACCAAACCTTTGTCACATTGTCCATATTATACATTTATGTTTTCATATTGAGTTATATAGAGTATGTCTAATCCATCTGTTTTGCCCTTTCGAGTGTGTAGTGTCTTTTCTATCAAAGAGCACTTAGCTGTTGTGTTATCATTAGTCCATTGTATTGCCTATGTGTTTTGCCTAGCAAACTCTGGTTTAGGCCTTCAAGTCCCTATTAGAATCACCAAATAATTAAACATTTGTTCTACTAATGTCTTACCTTTGGAACAAAGCAGTGTTGGGAGAAGTACTCAGATCCTCTACTTATGAAAAAGTAGAAATACTATGAACTTGATCACAAGTTAAAGCTAGGAATTGAAAATGTGACTTGAGTAGAAGTACAGAAGAATCAGTCAATTGTAATTCCAATATCAAACTAAAAGTACTCATATTGCAGAATTGTCCTTTAACAGGATTGAATTACCAAAGTATTTTAGAATATTATAATTGGGTTTTTATCCCCAGTGTCCTATTTCAATGTTAAGGAATTTTTCAAGTACTCTTGTCGTCAAGTAGCACAGTACGGTATCACGTCATATTAAGTGTTTATATGTAAATAGTAGCTAAAACTGATAAATAAATGTAGTGGAGTAAAGGTTTAGGTAGCATAAAATGGATGCTCTCAAAATAAAGAAAATCATTTCAACATAGTGCTTGAGTACAATACTTCAATAAATGTATTTAATTACTTTCCACCGCTGGGACAATGTTATTTTAACAATTTGTTAACCGAGATTGTCCCTGTTTTGTCACATGTTAGCAGTGTGTAATGCAATATACAACAGGCCTATACTTATCTTAAGCTATTAATTGTGGTAACTGCTATAGGCCTATACCAAATGCTAGCCAGCCAGCTAACACGTTAAAAGGAATTGTTAAACGTGGTAAACAATAAACCTGCTAACCACCAGGATGGCAGCATTGTCATTGTGAGCATGTTAGCATGCTGATGTTAGCATTTAGCTTTAAAGGTCTACTGTTATACTATTGTTAGGCATATATTATAGGTCTCAGATATAATAACATGTCTATGAAGTGTTTTGCTCAACATAACAAAACAGATCACCCATTCTAGCCTCAAACCCCTCTATTTCAGCCCTGTTACTAAAGTGCTGATTCTGTGTCTGTAGTTTAAAAAAAAAAAAGGAAAAAATAAAGAGAGGAGAGCTCATGCAGGAGAGTTCTACGCAGATTCTCAGCTAAATGCTGCCGTGATTTAACGCTATATTATGTTCCAAACCACATCAAAGATTATTTCTGAAATAGTATGGAGCTCAAATGCTTTTTCTCTCTCAGGTTTACCACAAGGTGAGTTCCTTTAACATCCTGCTTCTTTACACATGCTCTCTCCAGTACAGGTTAGCTCTGAGTGTTAGCGATGCTAATGTAAACAAAGACCATATTATATTCCCAAAACAGGCCGTGCATTGTTTCTGATAGCAACGTTTCTGATAGGGCCGTGGGCACATTTGAGTAATGTCATGACCGCAGAAAATCTGGATCAGCTCCGTTGTACCCCCGTTTTTAGAGATGTGGGTAAGGAGGAAAAGAGAGGGGGTTGTATTTTCAGACACTTTGTGAGTCTCCTGACACACCAGCGCCGCGGCACATATTTATGTATAAAAGACATCAAAACGTGCATTTTGCATGACAGGTGACCTTTAAGCTCTACTGTTGAGTAACCCCACAGAGCACATTTTTATCAGGTGGTTTGTTTAATTCTACTGGATCATCTATCAACAAGGATTTGTCATGTTGACAGATAGTACGTTTCTCACTTTGCAACTTCTTTCTTTCTCCTTATTCAGTCGTTTTATCTCAGTATCTATACAACGATGCAACTATTTTCATGGCGTTGTTCTCAAGGGACACGTCTGTCTGTAGTAATGATGGTAGCAGGTGAGTTGTTAGAGTACACGTCCCACCTCAGCTGTGACCTCCCACCTCAGCTGTGACCTCCCAGCCGTGACCTCCCACCTCAGCCGTGTCCTCCCACCTCAGCCGTGACCTCCCACCTCAGCCGTGACCTCCCACCTCAGCTGTGACCTCCCACCTCAGCCGTGACCTCCCACCTCAGCCGTGACCTCCCACCTCAGCCGTGACCTCCCACCTCAGCCGTGACCTCCCACCTCAGCTGTGACCTCCCACCTCAGCTGTGACCTCCCACCTCAGCTGTGACCTCCCACCTCAGCAGTTCCTTTTATAAAACCACAACCACAAGTCTTTCTGAAACTCTAACAGGAAGCTCTGATGATGTACAGTATAGACGCAAACCACATCCAAACGTCTGCTCTCAAACATTCTCTCTACAACGTGCACTCTGTCTACCAGCTTAATGTTAACATTTAGAAAGCCATGAGGTACAAATAAAGAAAATGTGGTTGTCTTTTACTTTACACGTACACTCAGACTACAATGGCCGTCTGGCTGCATGTTTATGGCACGAACATCTTTTGTACCTGGGTTTTAAATACACTGATCCTTACTTGTAATATAAGGTAAAAAGAGATCAAAATGCTTGTCATTTCCATTAACTATATTTTTATTTGGGGATTTACAGTAATTCATGTGCTCATATATACTAATAATGTAAAGAGGAAGGAAACCAGGCTGGTTTTAAACAGCAGAACTGTACCAGCCACAGAAGAAACACACTGCCTTCAAAGACCACATCCTCCTTATTTCTGTAGAGATGTTTTTGGTGATATACTGATAGAGTATTTCTCATGTGTGATCTACCTGCAAATCTAACAGAGACGTGAGGAGCAGCTATGAGTTTAAAAGCAGCAGCGAGTGGATTGGTGGTCTTCCTTCTCTCTGTGCAAGGTACAGTACATCTACATTTATATTGTAAGTCAGTTAATGCACCTCCGAGTGAAAAACTGAGTGTTTGTCTGTGTGGATAGAAATGATGACTGTACATAATTGCATTAGCAAACAAAACATGCTTTGAATAATTGCAAATTTGAATTCATCGCTCTGTTGAACTTCCTCTGTCGTCCTGCAGTCCTCAACACTTAACTTTAGCGAGTCTTTTTCCGCCTTAGAATACATTTAGAAGTATTTGATAATGTAATAAATCAGAAACATAACATGAGCTTGTGTCATGTCTTTAGTGTTTTAAGAGATAACTTATGGTAGGAGTTGCAACGTGGATAAAAAGCGTCACTAATGAATACTTTAAAATGAACAATGAGTCAAAGGAATGAGGGGTTGCTTGTAGAAATGAAAAGACAATAATAATCACCTCACTAAAGTTTAAGCTTCTTTTAGATCATTGTTTTGCTTTTATGGCAAAAAAACAACTTTACTGTTTTTCAGCTGCGCCCTGCAACTGAACGGCCACAGTTTTGTTCCTGCAGGTCAAGTGTTTGTGAAGGTGTGTGTATGTGAATGCATGAATGTCTGTTTGCATGCATGTACATGATCGTAGCTTTTGCATTTTCTTCATGTTTTGCCTCCATTGGACGGTGAAAAGTGTAAAGACTTACTGGAAACAGGAAGAGAGATCTGGGTATGACATGCAAAAAAGGAACCGGGGAGATCACAGTAAAAACTCTACACTTCAGGCATCACCAACATAAGGATAGACAAAGTTACTGCAGCATGAAGACGGGGACATAATAATATTTATTTGACAAAACAAGACTGAAGATTGGATTTATGTTAAGAGTCATTTAGAAACATGACTTTACATAAATACTCATGTGGTTTAGTGGATATTGTAGCTTTGATAAATATCTAATTTCTGCAGAGAAGCCAGATGCTTTCTTTAACCTGACAATGAGGAGACCTAGGTGCAACGTGCAACATTTGTGTCGACTTTTGCAAGCAATTAGGAGTCCAACACTTAGAAATAACCTCTCTGTCAGTCATTTGTTATCTTAGTATCACACGCCTCAATGTTCTGCTTTTCTTTGAAGTTTCCATTCACGCCCTGCAGCAGCCTGATCACTGAGAGAAAAGCAAGCCAGGAAAGAAGACTCTTTGTTCTGATCCACACCCTCTAATATTTTATTCTTATCTTTTTCTAAGGTTCGAAATCTAAGTATTTATCTGAGTATTTATCAGGTAAATACTGCATTAAAGGTTAAATACACTGCAGCATGATGTCCTACGTCAACATTATATATGTTTTTGATGCCTCTGTTCACTGGAAACAACATTACAACTTTGTTATAGTATAAACCCAGTTAGAAACAAACATCAGAACATTCCCGTCTATGTAAATTAATATAATATGAAATAGTAAAAAGATGTGTTTGATAAAGCTAAGAAAGTCTAATGAGTCTAATGAATGTTTCTGATGTGCTCTGTGTTACAGTGGTTCAGGGTCAGGATGGCTGGGGAGTGACTTACTCTTCTACTGAGATCTGTGCAGTGAAAGGATCAACAGTGGAGATAAGATGCAGCTACACATACCCAAAAAGCAGTGTTACCACAGTTGAGAAAACATTCTGGTTCACTAAACAGAAAGATGGTAAACGTGTAGATCTGACCACAGACTCAGAGTATGCAGGTCGTGTAGAGGATCTCTGTGAAAACAACATCTGCACTCTGAGAATCAGAAACCTGACAGAGAGCGACTCTGTGAAGTACAAGTTCAGGATCATAACAAACCAAGCAGGAAGAAAATATGTTGGTTCACCTGGAGTCACTTTGTCTGTCACAGGTAACATTTGTATTAATGCAAATCATTTCCAAATGTTCAACATTAAGAAAACAATAATATAAATGTGATGTGTTTTCATATACATGAATGTTGAGAGTTTATTTTTAAATAACCTTCCTGTTCCTTCTTCACAAATACAGATCTCTCGGTGCAGGTGGAAAGCAAAGATCCTAGCAGTGCAAACCTGAAGTGTCAGAGCAGTTGTTATTTACCTGATAATGATTACGTCTGGTACAAGAACCGTGAAAAGATTCAAACAGCAACATCTTCTTCCCTTCAAGTCGACTTGAGTTTTCTAGACAGCTATTCCTGTGCTTTGAAAGGATATGAGGACTCTCTCTCCCCTTCAGTGTGTGAGTTCACTTCACTACCTTATTCTAACATAACACCATCTAGTGGAAGCCATAGCTAACTGTATGGGTTTGTGACTTCTCATCAACTCTGGTCAAAATATGGTTTAAAAATCAGTTTGAATGTTTCAGGTGTGACTGGTCGAGACAGCAACACGGTGACTTCCATTCAAGGAAGTATCTGCGCCCCCAAAGGATCATCAGTGGACATTTCCTGCACGTACAGCAGTAATGAATGTATTACATCAAAGTTCTGGTTCAGTCCTGAGCGTAGTCATCAGGGACAGAATCCCTCTCAACCTGAGGACCTTAGTAAAGACTCCCAGTATGCAGGTCGTGTTCAGATCCTTGAAACAGAGAGAGGACGCTCCACTCTGAGGATCTCTGACCTGAGAGACTCAGATTCAGCTCAGTATCGCTTCACATTCAAAACATCAAGCTTTGAATGGAGGAGTGATTTACCTGGAACAACTCTGACTGTCACAGGTACTGATCAACACACACTGATGAAAATACACCTACACTTTATACCTTCAAATACAGTCCTCGCTCTCACGTCATCAGCCTCGCAGCTATTCAACAATGAATATGTTTACGAAACAAAAGTTTACATTGCTGCATATTAAATTAAATATACACAGCCATACACCAGCCAGCGTTAGAGATGTTTGGAACTCACATTTGTATACAATACACGTTTTACAAGATTAATCTAACCTCACAAGTTTTCTGTAATTCTTAAGTATTGCAATATTAAGTGGAATTGCAATTTCAGTTTTTTCTAATAAGGTGCATCCCTAGTTTTTAAGTTAGCACAATTGTGGCACAACATGGAAGTCAGAGCAGTGCGCCGTTTCTTAATGTTTATTTCACAATAATTATGATATATAATTATGATTATCACTTTCCCCATGATCCTGCTTGGTAAGGTGTATTCAGTCACTTGTAGTTTCATTTCACTTTCCTTTAGCTCGATTACAAGGAAATGGTAATTTAAAATGGCACTTCGAGAAGTAAAGGGAAAGTTTTGAATATATATTGAGTGTATATTGCAATATTTTAAGATGTAAACAGTTTAATGTGACTATTAAAAAGATTGTTCTCTTCATCTATCAGCCCCCCACCCCTTTCATAACAAATCCCAAATTAACCGCTGCACCAAGTGATATAATATTGTGTCTTTTCAAATGTTTATTTTTCTCATATCCAGCTCTGCAGGTGCAGGTGATCACAGCTTGGGTCCAGCAGTCTGATACCTTAGCAGAGCTGGAGTGTCACAGCAGCTGCAGTCCAGCCGGTGTTTCGTATGTCTGGTTCAAGAACGACGAGAAAATCCCCACAACAACGATATCTTCCTATAAAGGCTTGCTTCACCACGCAGACAGGATCTCTTGTGCTTTTGAAGGACATGAAGACTTCCCCTCGCCTGCAGTGTGTGAGTTTACTCATACACACACACTGACATTACATACAATGACAATTTCAGACAAAACCTCACAGGAGTCTTCTGAATCTCAATGCAGATGCCGCAGTTATATATATCGAAAAAGAAAGCTTAACTACATCCAGTAAATAAGCCATTTTAGGAAAAGAGACACACAGAAGACATAGATTTTGGTGGAGACCTCATTTTGAATAAAGAAGAGTTACAAACAAAACTAAATATCAACAATAACAGTAAATCCTTTAGGCACCAAGACACCTCACAAACAAAGATATCATAAATGAGGTTAGCTTTAAATTGTTCTAAATGTCATTCAAGGTTGCAGGTGCAAGATGAGAACATTTAGATTTTTGCAAGCTCAGTAAAAACAGCCAGCACCTGCAACGTAATTTAATCATGATGAGAGCCCACAAGATAATTTAAGGAGGTGAAAAAATAAAAGCAGCAGCTATGAGTTGAACTGCAGCAGCGAGTGGATTTGTTGTCTTCCTCCTCTCTGTGAGACGTACTGTATCTACATTTATATTGTAAGATAGTTTAAACACTTTAGAAATACAGCACCATTTAGCATGGTAACACTATGTCTGTATGGATGGAAATAATGACTGTACATACAGTACCTACATTAACAAACTACTCATGCTTTAAGTAATTGCCAATTCATCGCTGTGTTGAACTTCCTCTATCGTCCTGCAGTCCTCAACATAACTTTAAATACATGTTGTTCAGTTGCTGTTGTAGCTTTGATAAATATCTAGACATTTCTGCAGAGATGATGCTTTCCTTCTGTCAATGAGGAGAGATATAGCAGGTGCAACATACAGGAAGTAATCCAATGTTTGTGGGTTGGTGTCTACTTTTGAAAGCAATTAGAAGTCCAATGCTTAAAAATAAACTCTCTTTCAGTAATTTGTTATCTTAGTTTTAAACGCGTCAAAGTTCTGCTTTTCTTTAAAGTTTCCATTCAAACCCTGAAGCAGCCTTTCCACAGAGAAATACTCAACATAGCAAAGAAAACTCTATTTTATGTACCACACCCTCTAATATGTTTTTATTTATTTGAAATGTTGTCTAAGAAATAATGTGTTAAAGTTTACAGGTTCAACACAGGGTGCATGTTGTCCTGACTCAGTGCACTAACATCACTTACTCATAACTCTATACCTCAGACCCTAAAACACTAAAACTATAATCACAATATATTTAACCCATTAAGGTAAATTATTAAAATATGAACAATGTAAGAAAAACATTTAATACTGAGTTTTGCTGAGTTTGCCCAAGGCGCATGTGGATAAGTAGTTTCGAGAAATGTGGACTGAAACATCAACACTACAAATGAAAGTCTGGTATTTGATGTTGTTATGACTCTGATTCTAGTTTCTGATGTGCTCTGTGTTACAGTGGTTCAGGGTCAGAATGACTGGGGAGTGACTTTCTCTTCTACTGAGATCTGTGCAGTGAAAGGATCAACAGTGGAGATAAGATGCAACTACACATACTCATCTACATGTAGAGGCGGAGTTAACACAGTTATGAAAACATTCTGGTTCACTAAACAGAAAGATGGTGAACCTGTAGATGTGACCACAGAATCAGAGTATGCAGGTCGTGTAGAGGATATCTGTGAAAACAACATCTGCACTCTGAGAATCAGAAACCTGAGAGAGAGCGACTCAGCTGACTACAGGTTCAGGATCGAAACAAACCAAGCAGATGGAAAATATAATGGTTCACCTGGAGTCACTTTGTCTGTCACAGGTAACACCAATCAGTTCCAAATGTTCAACTTTAAGAAAACAATAATATAAATGTGATGTGTTTTCATATACATGAATGTTGAGAGTTTATTCTTAAATAACCTTCCTGTTCCTTCTTCACAAATACAGATCTCTCGGTGCAGGTGGAACGCAAAGATTATAGCAGGGCAAACCTGAAGTGTCAGAGCAGTTGTGATTTACCTGATAATGATTACGTCTGGTACAAGAACGGAGGAAACACTCTGTCAGGAACATCTTCTCTTCAGGTCGACTTTAATTATCTAGACAGCTATTCCTGTGCCTTGAAAGGATTGAGGACTCTCTCTCCCCTTCAGTGTGTGAGTTCACTTCACTACCTTATTCTAACATAACACCATCTAGTGGAAGCCATAGCTAACTGTATGGGTTTGTGACTTCTCATCAACTCTGGTAAAACAATGGTGTAAAAATGAGTTTGAATGTTTCAGGTGTCACTGGTCGAGACAGCAACATGGTGACTTACACTAAACGAAGTATCTGCGCCCCCAAAGGATCATCAGTGGACATTTCCTGCATGTACAGCAGTAATGACTGTATTAAATCTAAATTATGGTTCAGTCCTGAGCGTAGTCATCAGGGACAGAATCCCTCTCAACCTGAGGACCGTAGTGAAGACTCCCAGTATGCAGGTCGTGCTCAGATCCTTGAAACAGAGAGAGGACGCTCCACTCTGAGGATCTCTGACCTGAGAAACTCAGATTCAGCTCAGTATCTCTTCAAATTCAAAACACCAAGCTTTGAATGGAGGAGTGATTTACCTGGAACAACTCTGACTGTCACAGGTACTGATCAACACAAACTGATGTATACTGTTTACACCAACACATTACAATGAAAACATACTGGAAGTTGAGTTTTTGTAATTACTGTTGGATGAGTTATCATATTTGTTCACCAACTGTAGACTGTTGTGTTAATGGGTATATATATTTATCATCAGATTCATTTTAGACCGAGTGATATAATATTGTTTATTTTCCTCATATCCAGCTCTGCAGGTGCAGGTGATCAGAACAACTTACCAGCAGTATAATACCTATGCAGAGCTGAAGTGTCACAGCAGCTGCAGTCCAGCTGGTGTTTCCTACATCTGGGTCAAGAACGGAGAGAAAATCACGACAACATGGATATCTTCCTATAAAGGCTGGATTAAACTCACAGACACTATCTCTTGTGCTCTGGAAGGTCATGAAGCCTTCTCTTCTCCTATAGTGTGTGAGTTCACTCATACACAAACACTGACATTTCAATACATTGACCATTTCAGCTAGAAACCTTACAATAGTCTTCTGATTCTTAATGCAGACGCAGCAGTATTATTTATAGAAACAAAAAGCTTTCTAGGTCAACAACATACAGATGAAATAGATTTTGGTAGAGACATCATTTACAACATATCAGAGGTAAAAATACAAAATATCAACAATAACAGAAAATCCGGTAGGCAGCAAGAAACATCACAAAATATCTATCATAAATAAGGTTAGCTTTATATTGTTCTTCATGTTATTCCAAGTTACAGGAGCAAGATGAAAAAACTGGATTCTCACTAAAAACCTCAGTCGGCAGCTGCAACAGAATTTAATCATGATGTGGGCCCACTTTAAAATAAACATTAAGGAGGTGAAAAAACAGTATTACAAATTAAAAAAAACAGTTTATCATACAGAGAGATGTACAGCTCAATATGACGTGTATTATCCTAATCTCCAAGAATACTTAGTGCACAGTGATTAACATCACAGTCTTCATGCAGGGTTAGAGTTAGTCTGCTAGCAAGATGAAGATGTTCAGGTTTAAAATGATTAAACCAACCCGGTATCACGGCAAGACGTGAACATGTGACGATCTACAATGCTGGGAGACGTGAATATGTCACGGTTTCGTCCCTTCAAATGTGACAGTTACACGGTATTGTTAACATGGCCCAACCAGTGGAGAAATACCCGGAAGTGCCAAGCAAATGGTCTACCGCGCCTATTGGTCGGTTTTTATTGTCAAAATTAGATGTTTTTCATTTATTTTTTAATCGTCATACTCGATTTCGCCGATTTTCTTGTTGCCCTCGCTGGTCGACACCTCTTTTAGCA